GTTCCCACGTCCGACGAACAAGCTCAATACGAATTCTTCATCAGCAACTCCTGGACCAAGCAACTCGTTGCCAAATAGATGATGAAGAACACAAACTACTCCTGGGGCACAAGCTCAGCGCTGACAAGGCCCGCCCAAATCTGAAATTGTGGTGGATTTCCTACTCCAAGACCAAGAACAGTGATGTTTGGAGCGAGATCTCTGCGACTTTATGGACCAATTCTGTTGCCGCACGACACGCAAGATGGTCGATCATCTCTTTGAATAGTCCGATCGATATGAAGGCGAATCTGCGCGGGCGTACGCCATTCGACTCCAGACTATCTTGGACGAGATCGACATCCCGGCTCTGCAAGGCGTGACGATCTTCCAACGAGACGTACGACATCCTCGAGCCGAAGCCTGCCTGGAAAACACCGACAAAGAACTCCTGTCGATATCGGATTGCATGAAGCTACTTCGATCACGACAAATCCTCCTGGACAACCGCCGAATTTCCCGCGCATGGTGTGATCGGAGTCGGCCTCGACCACGGCGTCCGCACTTTCGTCGTCGCGCACGCTCCATCGGTCGCTGAACACCCACTGTCCTGGATCCAAGGTTGGATTCGAGGACCAGTCTACCTTCGAAAAGGTCCTTTCTGCCTTGATGACGCAGCAGCAACAACAGCAAGCCGCGATCGCGTTAAGCAAACTCTTCTGGAGGCGTTCATGAAATCCAACGCCGCGCCTCGATATGCTGCCCCAATCCAAACGACTCAGCCGTCACATTACGTTGCCTCATACCCGATGGCCTTCGCACCCGTTCAAGCGCAGTCAGTTTCCCCACCTGTCATGAGGCCACAGTCCAACCAAAACAGCAAGCAGTGTTATGTGTTATGCTCCTTTCGTGATCTCAACCAAACCCGATGATGTCGCCTCAAGTGGAGTAAAGGTGTGTGGACATTGCGATCGCGCTGGGCATGGATCGATTGACTACCCCCGCAAACACGTGCGCTGCAAACTTTGCCATGAATCCGGACACTACGCGGGCGAGCACCCAAATATCTGTCACTACTGTAAGCTCCCCGGCCACAATGTGTCGCGCTGCCCTTCAAAGCCCGTGCTCCACGCCTGAGAAGCCGGCGCAGTGGGGGACTCGACAAAACCCAACGGCTAGCCGCCCTCAGCACGTCCATGAAGTGCTCGAGAACAATGCATACATATCTATTTTCGTCTGTGTCGCTTCGGCAACCACATTGGACGTAAACACCTATGTGGAACTCTCGGAACACCCTCCAGATCCTAACTTGAGGCCCCAGCGAAAGGGCCCTGTCCTTACGCCAAAGCCTCGACCACGATGCACCACAAAGTACTTACACTGGCAAACCACACGGACGGGATCCGACACAAACAGACACGTGGTTCACGTTCGCCCAAGATGGAGTCTGATTCAATGCCTTCCTCTGCGACGAAACTACACCTTCGTCGCAGTTGGACCCATCATCAACACTCGACGATGTGCTGGACGCTAACATTACACCTGCGCTCCATGTGTTTTCTGAGAAAGACATTTCATACCTGTTATCGTCGCAGGCAACCGCACTTGATGACGAGTATGACAAAGGATCGAGGACCGACTCTTCCCCATCGCTAAGTTGGACAATTCTTGCCAGCTCGAACTCGCCCGTCAACGCCGCCAGAACGCATCACACGAGGAAATTTTACGCTCCATAGACCTTTCGCTGTCAGAGTCACACTTGCTACTGGCTCCTTGCGACTTCGAGGATGAAGCCATCTGGACCAGATGGTTTGAGGATGCACTCCATGAATGCGAAGAAGCACGCCGCGCTAATCGCCACTTCCGCACAGCTGCCGCATCACCGGTGGCCCGAATCAGCGACTTTCGCACAGCTGCCGCATCACCAGTGGCCAGAATCAGCTGGGTTTACGCGAACCCATACGCTTGTACTAGACCACTGCGATGCGGACGATCCAAACGACATCGACGTGACGACCACGTCGATTAGATTAGGTGCAACACTGGCAAAATCAGTGGAGGATACTATGGCCGGCTCTGTCTCCGAACCTAAAGTTTTGGACGAACTGAACTCTGCAATAGAGACTTTTAGCAAGTCCGGAATTTCACCAGTTTACAGACTATTGACTTCCTTCGATTTTGTTGAAGTCTGATGTGCGTAG